AGGATGTCACCTGTGGTCTGTTGTATACTCTCTATAAAGTACTCTGGAAAGAATGCCACCTGTGGTCTGTTGTATACTCTCTATAAAGTACTCTGGAAAGGATGTCACCTGTGGTCTGTTGTATACTCTCTATAAAGTACCCTGGAAAGGATGTCACCTGTGGTCTGTTGTATACTCTCTATAAAGTACCCTGGAAAGGATGTCACCTGTGGTCTGTTGTATACTCTCTATAAAGTACTCTGGAAAGGATGTCACCTGTGGTCTGTTGTATACTCTCTATAAAGTACCCTGGAAAGGATGTCACCTGTGGTCTGTTGTATACTCTCTATAAAGTACTCTGGAAAGGATGTCACCTGTGGTCTGTTGTATACTCTCTATAAAGTACTCTGGAAAGGATGTCACCTGTGGTCTGTTGTATACTCTCTATAAAGTACTCTGGAAAGGATGTCACCTGTGGTCTGTTGTATACTCTCTATAAAGTACTCTGGAAAGGATGTCACCTGTGGTCTGTTGTATACTCTCTATAAAGTACCCTGGAAAGGATGTCACCTGTTGTCTGTTGTATACTCTCTATAAAGTACTCTGGAAAGGATGTCACCTGTGGTCTGTTGTATACTCTCTATAAAGTACCCTGGAAACGATGTTACCTGTGGTCTGTTGTATACTCTCTATAAAGTACTCTGGAAAGGATGTCACCTGTGGTCTGTTGTATACTCTCTATAAAGTACTCTGGAAAGGATGTCACCTGTGGTCTGTTGTATACTCTCTATAAAGTACTCTGGAAAGGATGTCACCTGTGGTCTGTTGTATACTCTCTATAAAGTACCCTGGAAAGGATGTCACCTGTGGTCTGTTGTATACTCTCTATAAAGTACTCTGGAAAGGATGTCACCTGTGGTCTGTTGTATACTCTCTATAAAGTACTCTGGAAAGGATGTCACCTGTGGTCTGTTGTATACTCTCTATAAAGTACTCTGGAAAGGATGTCACCTGTGGTCTGTTGTATACTCTCTATAAAGTACTCTGGAAAGGATGTCACCTGTGGTCTGTTGTATACTCTCTATAAAGTACCCTGGAAAGGATGTCACCTGTGGTCTGTTGTATACTCTCTATAAAGTACTCTGGAAAGGATGTCACCTGTGGTCTGTTGTATACTCTCTATAAAGTACCCTGGAAAGGATGTCACCTGTGGTCTGTTGTATACTCTCTATAAAGTACTCTGGAAAGGATGTCACCTGTGGTCTGTTGTATACTCTCTATAAAGTACTCTGGAAAGGATGTCACCTGTGGTCTGTTGTATACTCTCTATAAAGTACTCTGGAAAGGATGTCACCTGTGGTCTGTTGTATACTCTCTATAAAGTACCCTGGAAACGATGTCACCTGTGGTCTGTTGTATACTCTCTATAAAGTACTCTGGAAAGGATGTCACCTGTGGTCTGTTGTATACTCTCTATAAAGTACTCTGGAAAGGATGTCACCTGTGGTCTGTTGTATACTCTCTATAAAGTACTCTGGAAAGGATGTCACCTGTGGTCTGTTGTATACTCTCTATAAAGTACCCTGGAAAGGATGTCACCTGTGGTCTGTTGTATACTCTCTATAAAGTACCCTGGAAAGGATGTCACCTGTGGTCTGTTGTATACTCTCTATAAAGTACCCTGAAAAGGATGTCACCTGTGGTCTGTTGTATACTCTCTATAAAGTACCCTGGAAAGGATGTCACCTGTGGTCTGTTGTATACTCTCTATAAAGTACCCTGAAAAGGATGTCACCTGTGGTCTGTTGTATACTCTCTATAAAGTACCCTGGAAAGGATGTCACCTGTGGTCTGTTGTATACTCTCTATAAAGTACTCTGGAAAGGATGTCACCTGTGGTCTGTTGTATACTCTCTATAAAGTACTCTGGTATTAAATTCCAGTTCTGTACTTATTATTGCTGTTTTTTGTCGACGATCTTGTAAATGTTATTCACCTCACCAACGCGAAATGTCTTTTAGTACATTCAGGAGTCATTTGATAGTCTTTTTACAAGTAAAATATGTAAATTGTATTGCGTGGTTTGTTAACTTTTTATTTCTTACATTCTACGTGTACGCGGTAAGATGGAGTTTGACGACATAAGGTGCTGTCAGTGATTAATCCCTTGTTTCCAATACCATACAATGGATTGTTCACCTCGACGCCTTTTTAGTGCGTTTTTCCTGGCATGTCCCCAAGAGGACGATGCGTCCTGGGTTTTAGCCCACGTTAACTTATCGTGTTTACAAACCTAAGCGATAAAGTGAGTTGTCAACGACCTTGGAATCCCAGATCTGAATCTGTCACCTTGATCTGACATGAAATTGACACCTCGTTATATAAAACCTTTTCTTCACGTTAGTTTTCGATATTCTAATTAAAAAAAACCCAACAACAACAGAATTAGACACGAGGGATAGTGAGACTATAATAAGTCTCTATTAACACTATAATTGTGTATTTTTTACGCACTTTCCAGACAGGCCCAGAGGTCGGCTAAACAACAAATGATTTACTGTTTCTCTTCCATTTTTTTTTCCGTTTCGTTTGTTTACAGTGTGTAACGCAGGCGCAAACCTGTTGTGACGTCCCAAGGGTAGCGTGAATTTCCTCAAATAAATAGCGACAGTTGAATGTTTTGGGGAAATCGAGTCCATAAAGATATAAGTAAATGCTTTTGTACAATTTGCTTAAAAAGCATCTAATGAAATCATGAGTTGGACGGAAAATCCAATTAATTTCATGATATAAATGCTACACAAATAAAAAGACTTTAAACTTCAAAATAAAACGAAAGAAAATGTATGATTTACAGAGGTGATTGTGTCCGAGATGAAAGCTCAAGTATTTCCTATGAGGTATGATAATCTTACATCTCTCACTACATAACAAATTAAACACAAGATGTTGATATAGTGACACTTGCTTAGAATCTAACGATGTGGTAAAGTAGAGATAAAATATAAGGGCCACCTGATTTGATCCAAGAACACTGAGTACAGCTTTTATGAAGTGTATGGACCACAATTTATAAAGTAGTGTCAAATGTCCATAACATGGAGAAAAGATCAGGATCACAGAATAATGTTGTCACCGTATCGTCTTCATCATTTCATTCTAGATACTATTTCAGAGCACCCTAAAACACAACTAGGGAGGAAAGGTACGCGAACTACATGTAACATCTAGGAGGATCTCAATAGAACTGTTCTTTGGATTGTGGGCAGGGATACATTTAAATCTACATTTTTTTCTGTAAAAATAAATTGAAATCTTTATGGGAGATGAAGATTTAGCATTAAAAGAAAATGAAATCTTTATGGGGGGTGAAAATCTCGTCTTAAAAGAAATTGAAAAAAACTTTTAGGAGGATGAAAATTTAATGCTAAAAGAAAAGTGGTTTTATACAATATAACATCCATTTCACGAGACCAACAATGTGTAAATACACTCAACTAGATACGTGTTATTCAAAAATAAAACAAGTGATTACGGTTTGAGGGGTCCCGTGAGTGTACTTTGTGTATTACTAATACAGGAAAATAGATTAAGGAATCTGCAGAGCTTTCAGAAATAATAATAAAAAAAACTTTTGATCCATTTAGCTGTCATTAAAAATGGCCTTTTTAAATCACATGAATTTAGTGTCTGTACACTGCTGTGAGACGGCTATAACTCAAATTTGAATTAAGTTTGTGTCATCTACAGGTCAACTGAATTCCTTAATTCATAGTGGAATCACGTAATATGGATGACTATAATCGGGAAATATCAATGTTAGCGCAGAGACATTTTAATCAATAAAACCATGCTACATGTTGGAACACTGTACACCATTTAAACAGATCGGCTACATGTTGGAACACTGTACATCATTTAAACAGATCGGCTACATGTTGGGACACTGTACACCTTTTAAACAGATCGGCTACATGTTGGAACACTGTACATCATTTAAACAGATCGGCTACATGTTGGAACAATGTACACCATTTAAACAGATCGGCTACATGTTGGAACACTGTGCACCATTTAAACAGATCGGCTATATGTTGGGACACTGTACACCATTTAAACAGATCGACTACATGTTGAAACATTGTGCACCTTTTAAACAGATCGGCTACATGTTGGAACATTGTGCACCTTTTAAACAGATCGGCTACATGTTGGAACACTGTGCACCATTTAAACAGATCGGCTACATGTTGGAACACTGTACATCATTTAAACAGATCGGCTACATGTTGGAACATTGTACACCATTTAAACAGATCGGCTACATGTTGGAACAATGCACACCATTTAAACAGATCGGCTACATGTTGGAACACTGTGAACCATTTAAACAGATCGGCTACATGTTGGGACACTGTACACCTTTTAAACAGATCGGCTACATGTTGGAACACTGTACACCATTTAAACAGATCGGCTACATGTTGGAACACTGTACACCATTTAAACAGATCGGCTACATGTTGGGACACTGTACACCTTTTAAACAGATCGGCTACATGTTGGAACACTGTACACCATTTAAACAGATCGGCTACATGTGGAACACTGTACACCATTTAAACAGATCGACTACATGTTGAAAAATTGTGCACCTTTTAAACAGATCGGCTACATGTTGGAACACTGTACACCATTTAAACAGATCGGCTACATGTTGGAACATTGACACCATTAAACAGATCGGCTACATGTTGGAACACTGTACATCATTTAAACAGATCGGCTGCATGGTGGAACATTGTACACCATTTAAACAGATCGGCTGCATGTTGGATCACTGTACACCTTTTAAACAGACCTAGAATATCGAGGATGGTCCCGGGGGGTGAGGACAGTGATTGTAATCCCTGGAGTATCGAGGATGGTCTCGGGGATGCAGATAGTGTTTGTAACCCCTGGAGTATCGAGGATGGTTCAAGGGGACGCAGAGTGTGACCGTAACCCCTGGAGTATCGAGGATGGTTCCAGGGGACGCAGAGTGTGACCGTAACCCCTGGAGTATCGAGGATGGTTCTGGGGGTGCAGATAGTGAACGTAACCCCTGGAGAATCGAGGATTCTTCTGGGGTTGCAGAGAGAGAGATCGTAATCCCTGGAGTATCGAAGATGGTCCCGGGGATGCAGAGTGTGACCGAGGATGGTTCCGGGGGACTCAGATAGTGACCGTAACCCCTGGAGTATCGAGGATGGTTCCATGGGTACAGAGTGTGATCGTAACCCCTAGAGTATCGAGGATGGTTCCAGGGGACGCAGATAGTGACCGTAAGCCCTGGAGTATCGAGGATGGTTCCACAGGATGTAGATTGTGAACGTAACCCCTGGAGTATCGAGGATGGTTCCAGTGGATGCAGAGTGTGACCATAAACCCTGGAGTATCGAGGTTGGTTACGGGGATGCAGATAGTGACCGTAACCCCTGGAGTATCGAGGATGGTTCCAAAGGACGCAGATTGTGAATGTAACCCCTTGAGTATCGAGGATGTTTCTTGGGATGCAGATAGTGTTTGTAACCCCTGGAGTGTCGAGGATGGTTCTGGGGTTGCAAAGAAGCAGATAGTGTTTGTAACCCCTGGAGTGTCGAGGATGGTTCTGGGGTTGCAAAGAGAGAGAGATCGTAACCCCTGGAGTATCGAGGATGGTTCTGGGGGTGCAGAGAGTGATTGTAACCCCTGGAGTATCGAGGATGGTTCTGGGGGTGCAGAGAGTGATTGTAACCCCTGGAGCATCGAGGATGGTTCTGGGGGTGCAGAGAGTGATTGTAACCCCTGGAGTATCGAGGATAGCTTGGAATCACCTGTTGGTCATACTCCATTAACAGCCTTCTGGAGACATCGATTACTGTATAGGTGAACTCTCTGTCACACTGAGAATGAATCGGATAATTCCGACAGTCTCAGGACAAATAAAATAACTTTAGAATGTAATTTGATAATATACATATTTGCTCTTCTTTTCATGAAAACTTTCGAATTTTGCTCTCCGACATCCAACAGTGCAAACATGATTGCTTGTTGGAACATATTGACCCCGTTGTGGCGCCGTGAAGTGATCTAATTCCAAACACATAACGAGAATGAAGTATTGAGACTTACAGTTGTCACTGATAGTATCATTTGCTGTTATAGAAATGTACTGCAAAGCATACCGATTTCTAGGGAATCGGATAAAACAGTCTGGTCAGAGCATCACACTCCATTTCTATCTTTTCTGCTAAAGAAACACACAGAGATTACAAATGGTGTCTTATTGGACGTCTGTCTGTAAATCTGGTTTATATATAACGTTTCTTTTATTGTGTTAAACATTATTATCGGCAGTTCAGTCTCCTGTAGCATGCCTGCTGTGCCAACAAGAATAAAACCGTCTAACAAGCCAAGAAAATAGAGTTGTCGTCATGTGTCCCCGGTGACACGGTCAGAGTACGTAGATTGCAGGCCTTGTCAGTTGTGGCATTCCAGAGACAAATAACTTTTTGTTATTTCGGAGTATTAGAGAATATATAGCACCAACAACTAGTAAAATAGACAAAGCACCTGCGATCACGTGAGTACATGTTAAAGTCATGTCATTGGTATTCTGTTTCAATGTTCTATAAAAAGTATACACACCCCATCTGCTGTAAAGTTGCCGTCGCACAAACAGGTAAAAACAAGTAAAAACAGGTAGAGATATGCCAGTGGTGCTTTGTCTTATAAAATATACTGACACCCCACCTACTGTAAGGTTAGCTGCAAATAATGTACTTTATAAAACAAATTATGTTTGTATCAGAGTCAGTTGATATACAACAATCGACAAACTATAAAAAATCTTCATGGAATAGTTATTGGTCTTTGTTACACAATAGTGATATGTTAATTCTGAATATCAAACATACTCAACGACCCTTTTCGGCCAAAATAGTTTAACCATACACCTAAGGTTTTGTAATAACGACTGAATCAGAGAAAGGTCCTTGGTGCTAAAATCTATAGGTGGGTGTAACCTGTAATTACACGTCTCTCGGTCAAACCAGTGCATCCAACAAGGGATACAGAACAGATTTATATATATATAATATAGTAAGTAATATCGACGGTATGGTCCAATATTGGTACTGGATCTTCTATATATAGAATCTAGTAAGTAATATCGACGGTATGGTCCAATATTGGTACTGGATCTTCTATATAGAGAATCTAGTAAGTAATATCGACGGTATGGTCCAATATTGGTACTGGATCTTCTATATATAGAATCTAGTAAGTAATATCGGCGGTATGGTCCAATATTGGTACTGGATCTTCTATATATAGAATCTAGTAAGTAATATCGGCGGTATGGTCCAATATTGGTACTGGATCTTCTATATATAGAATCTAGTATCGACGGTATGGTAGGTACTGGATATATATAGTAATATATCGGCGGTATGGTCCAGTATTGGTACTGGATCTTCTATATATAGAATCTAGTAAGTAATATCGACGGTATGGTCCAATATTGGTACTGGATCTTCTATATATAGAATCTAGTACGTAATATTGACGGTATGGTCCAATATTGCTACTGGATCTTCTATATATAGAATATAGTAAGTAATATCGACGGTATGGTCCAATATTGGTACTGGATCTTCTATATATAGAATATAGTAAGTAATATCGACGGTATGGTCCAATATTGGTACTGGATCTTCTATATATAGAATCTAGTAAGTAATATCGGCGGTATGGTCCAATATTGGTACTGGATCTTCTATATATAGAATCTAGTAAGTAATATCGACGGTATGGTCCAGTATTGGTACTGGATCTTCTATATATAGAATCTAGTAAGTAATGTCGACGGTATGGTCCAATATTGGTACTGGATCTTCTATATATAGAATCTAGTAAGTAATGTCGACGGTATGGTCCAATATTGGTACTGGATCTTCTATATATAGAATCTAGTAAGTAATGTCGACGGTATGGTCCAATATTGGTACTGGATCTTCTATATATAGAATCTAGTAAGTAATATCGACGGTATGGTCCAGTATTGGTACTGGACCTTCTATATATAGAATATAGTAAGTAATACCGACGGTATGGTCCAGTATTGGTACTGGATCTTCTATATATAGAATATAGTAAGTAATACCGACGGTATGGTCCAGTATTGGTACTGGACCTTCTATATATAGAATATAGTAAGTAATACCGACGGTATGGTCCAGTATTGGTACTGGACCTTCTATATATAGAATATAGTAAGTAATACCGACGGTATGGTCCAGTATTGGTACTTGATCTTCTATATATAGAATATAGTAAGTAATACCGACGGTATGGTCCAGTATTGGTACTGGATCTTCTATATATAGAATATAGTAAGTAATACCGACGGTATGGTCCAGTATTGGTACTGGACCTTCTATATATAGAATCTAGTAAGTAATATCGACGGTATGGTCCAATATTGGTACTGGATCCCAACAAACAAATGTTCGTTGGAGACAAATTACTGGACTAGATAATAAATGGAGTAATAGCGTCAGTACGGACAGGCGCATCATCAAATATTCGAGGCAATCTGTCCCTTTAACAAGACACAAAAAATACATAAATTACATCACATACATAGATCATAAAACATCTAAATCGAGAGTGGTGGTGTAAATTAAGGTGTCTCGATAATCCCTCCGGCCGATGGACGCCAGAGGCCCTTCATAACGAAAAAAAAAAAACATCTCAAGTTGTGGAAGTTATGGAAGATGGTGATTAAAATATCAAAAATGTTTTACATCAATCTCGGTATGTTTTGCACTCTAGACACCGAGCGTATATGTGATCGCAACGAAAAACAATTGCACGTCACACTCCGAGGAAAGTAGTCTACCGGTACATATCGGCCACACTCTAAATGAGAAATTGTTTGGTTAAAAACAAGAAATTTATTGTAAAAAAAAGACATACGTGTAGCCATAATAAAAGTAATTTGATAAAAAAACACCATAAAAATATTCTTTATATATATATATATGTAAATATAAATCTGTTTTGTATCAATATTGTGTATGTATACTTTCTGATGCCCAATACACAAAATAATAAGATCACGAGTTCTGGAAATAAATCATAAAGTTATTTTCTCAAAATCCAAAATCTATTTGCGTTGAGTATTGTTATTATTATTATTCTCTTTATTTCCTCCTTTAAGAAGATTTCACAAAAAGAACAACATTAATTTAGTGAAAGAGAACGCTGAATTGGCATGCAAATCAAAATTATTACCAAGATATTATAACATTAGGATAATTATAGTAATTAAGTCGTTCCAAAATCACATCGGAACATTGAGGTACATCATTTTTGCAATAGTGATTATTATAACATAAGCATAATAATGATTAAATAGTTACAAAATACCAAAGTAACATATAAGATGTATCATAATTACATTACTCATATATATATATATTGCACTTAATGATAATTCTTTAGATGTAATTTGTATCATATACATTTTAGCCATAATATGCTTTAAGCATTTTTGAAATATAATGGACTGAATTAAGGTAAAACTGTGATATTTCTTTTAAATTCAATTCATACATTACTTGTCCACCAATCAAGATATGGAATAGGTCAAAATCTGAGTGATTATGTAAATATACGCTAAACTCATGATCACTGATATTGATCATTTGACACCATAATTGATCTCGAATTTCTTCAGTAAAATTGCACTGTAAGACTATATGAGTATACACATCTTCATACGTTTGGCCACATCTGTGACATAATTCAACTGTGTTTACATTTCTGATGGACACAATAAGTTTCATAATACTACCTATGGATTCCTTATTCTGAGGAAACTTAATTAATAGCTTCCACAATATGTGTGGAGCTAGTTTATTATGAATTAATTTAAATCTATAGAACTCGCGGTCATCATCCATTCTTTCTTTCCACGAGTTTTCTTCGTATGAATGAACTGTACATTTTACTTTGTTCTTCCATTTACTCTTTGAAGGGAAAGATCCGCGTGCTAAACATTCTTTTACCATTTCATACAGATCATATTTTCTCAAAACTCGAACAACATCATTCATGAATACTTTGCCTTGTTTGTATATATTAACTGTATATAAAATAAA